ACATACACACGCACACACACACACACACGTACGCACGTACACACACACGCGCGTGCGCGCACGCTAACACTTTTTGCGATATATTATTTTTAGCATGGGAAGTTATCTAGGTTATACTTCTAGATTGCTATTGAGGCGATTCATAAAATGACTATCATGTCGGACATGCTATGGTTTGAATTTGAGACAATTAAGTTTAACAATATTAAGAAAGGAAGGAGATGGTACATGACTTCATATTAATTTTATTTGCTTTTTTCTCTATAAAATTTTCAAAAGTTTAATTCTCGCCTTGAAAAGTTGACTTAGGTATTCAAGGGATTTTCCTGATAGGAATAAAGTGAAATCATCTGGCATTACTTGAAAAAAGAACTCTTTATAAGCCTTCTGTACTCTAGGATTGCGTGAATTAACTTTTGCAAAGAGTTGGTTTATGTTTGTTACGTGACCGCCCAAAACACATTCCAATACTGTATTTAGAGAAGTAGGAGATTGAAAGAAACAATGTGCAATCATGAAAGATGTATGTTCAACTTTATCTCTCCAATTCCCAAACATTGGCAAAATATCAGGTTTTGCTATATTTATTGAAATACAATGATATAATTTAGGAATTTTTAAAATAATACTTCCACCTTCTTCTAGGCAATCTGAAAGGAAATGTATTATCTGTTCTTTTTCGGCACCAACGATAACACCTTTAAGCAAATTCCTTTCAGGTATCATGTAATTGGGTAGATGGTTGTTTACTATGCAATGCTTTATGAAAACAAGACATTTCTGAATTAGAAATACTAAGTGACTTGGTGTAAGTTCACGATCATTTGTCATTTCCATAACCCAGAAAATGACGTTCTTTATAATATATGAAGTAAGAAATTTACACTTAGGTTTTAAACGTGATTTAGCCATTATCTTCAGTAGGACATATGCCTTGATTTGAGTGTCAGAAAGACTTAACACTAATTTTTTTTCGGCAGTAGTATAACATATCCTCCATTCAAATGCTTGCATATCACTTTGTTTGTCGCCGATAGGAACAACATATCCTTCCATTTCAGAAACTTCTTTTGAAATTTCGAGGGAAGGCCATTCGTAGTTTTTTACCCGTTCTTTCCACTTCCGTAAATAATTGCCTCCATAAAACTGTACAGATTGAACAAAGTCACAATCCGACAAAAAATCCGATGATGTCGTAGCAGGTCCATTTTGAGTTATATAAATGCCAAATGTCTGACAATTAGCAGCTATAGTAGCATAAAAATCCCTCAGTTTTTCACTCGATATTAATTTACCTTTCTCGAGAATATCATACGTACAACATTGTTTGAATTGCAAGGAACAAACACATTTATCAGACATTGATATTGACACCACTTTAGTATAACCTGGCGCAGTTTTAGAATAATCAGTTCCAAGAATGATTAACTCACCATCATTATCACATCCTTCATCTACACAGATTACATCTGACAATATAAACATACAGTCATAATCACTATCGGCCAGTTCAACCCCTTCACCCGAGCTTCCAACTAGTAAAGCTTTTGAATAGAGTGCTTGTGTCGGTGAAATGAAATTCCCTTCCACCAAATTTGATCGTAACATAATCTGTTTCTTGCTGAATCCCAAATAATCCAGAACAGAACATGTCATTAAAGATAACTTCATATCTTCTTGCTTCGACATAGTTGAATAAGTATAAATGTTTTTGTCAGCACAAGTTTCAAATGCACCTTCAAACCTGCAAGAGCGTTAATATGGATAAATAATAACTAACTTAACACGTACGTAAACGATTATAATTCATCGTTTTTTAAAGCGCGTCCCTTCAATTAATATGTATGTATTGAATGAAATTTGAATATTTGTCAATATTGATCTTAAAACGCTATTCGAACATATATCATTTATTTTAAATACGGAAACTATAAAATAATAAGGTGTCTTTTGATTATCCGTTAGTATTTCTGTAGTTATTGCCGATAGTTCCTAACAGAAATTAAACAGTATATGTACTTTTAAATAGAATTCAATGACTGAACAGAGCAACCCTTTTCTCCAATTTAACATGAAGAAATCATGTATAGCGCTAGAATAATACTGATTGATGTATACATGCAAATTACTAAAGCCTACCTAAGAACAAAATGATAAAGAAAAAAAGGAATAGAAACCTCACATGTTTGTATCATTTGAAATGAACTTTACAAAAATTTTATTCAGGTTGAACAGAAATGTATGTTTTGTACAAATGCTCTTGATATATGATAGTGATTCTGTCAATTGGTTTTTAATTTTTATTTTCCTTTTTTTTTGTTTTTAAAAAGCCAAACTCTTTTTTGGGAAAAATCAAAACCCGAGAAGATTTTTTCCCATGTAAAAAAATAAAATAAAACATGAAAAAAAAAAAAGATATTTAATTTTAAAAAAACATAGAAAAGAGTTTCTAAAAAAGGGTTTTCCAAACTTCCTTTCAAACCCTACTATTTATATTTTTCCATTATCGTAAATGTAATGTTAAAAAAAAAATTTGATTAAAATAAAAAACATACCTTTTAAAAAAATGAACTGTAACAGTCTATAAAAAATCCCATAAAAAAAGTATGGGGATGAAACCAAAAGGGCCTTTTATTTATACACGTATGACCCCTAAAAGAAGAGGATAGATTAAAAAATTTTTTCAAATTTGAACAAAGGGTCTTTAACTGAAAATACTCTTTAAAACCCAAAATTCCTTTAGGTCGTTATATTTGAATGTATAAGTGGCTGATTGTGTGGTGTACAAGTCGGACTAGTGTTCTGAGGATGGATGCGTGCGTGGGTGAGAACATGTCATAGAAAAGCCGCTGATTTGATGACCAAGAAATTTCTTCTAGGAAAGAATCAAGAGTGAGTCTTCCTGCTATTGATTGCTGCCCACACATTTTGTTGTGTTTACAAAACGTTTCGTAAAAACTGAAGTTTGAGCTGCTTTAAAAAAAAATAGTGTCCGATTTTGTTCATAGAATTTATGTTACATATAAAACCTAAAATCAGTATTTACATAAGTGATATATCTACCCCTGCAGCCTTAAAGTGTGGTTAGGGTAATGATAATTTTGCTCAGTCAAATCATTATCTGAAACTGTAGGAATTTTTTCATTTGACTGTGAACCTATCGAAGAAATACCCTTAAAACAGCTGCACACAGGGGAAAATTTTTAAATTAATAAAAAGGGCTTCCAGTAAATGAAAAATTTCTATATAGGGAAAAATTCTACTTTTAAACCCTAACTTCAAAAATGTTAGAAATCAAGGGTTTTTTTCCATTTAAATAAGTCCCTTTAGGGGGAATTCTAAACAAAAACTTTTTCCAGGGACTTTTTTAAATTTTCCTTTTAAAAAATTTTAATAATAAACAAAAATATTTTTTAAAAAACATATTTCTGAAACAATCTCATCCAATTTTTTTTTTAATTTTGTCAAATTGTCATAGAAAATTAAATATTTTTTAAATTTGCAGTTTGGGGCTCAATAACCAAAAATTTAGGGATTTTAAATAAAACAATACATTAAATTTAAATCCCCCAAACTTTTTTATGACGTTGTATGTTTCAAAAAGCTTAAAAAATTAAAGGGGTTTTTAAAAAATGCGGCCCAAAATTTAATACCCTTTTTACAAAAAAAAATTTATTTTTTCGAAAAAAAATTTAAACCAATTTATTAATCTCAACAGGCATTTTTAAAACAGCAAACAAAAAAAATTTTTTCTGGGATAAGGGGTGGCTCTTTTTAAAGGTTATACGTAGAAAACGGGTTTGAGCCCTGGGGGTACGTAGTTTAAACGATGAAATATAGTGTCTAGAAGGAATATGAATATATCATGTATCTTGAAATAATTAGTAACAAGTTATTAGATTTATCAAACATATCAAAAGCTACATTATTATGGTAAACCAAACTCCGCAAGGAAAATATATAAAGGGAAAGATCATCAGTCATTTTTCTCGCTAAAGTATCTAGTTATTATGTATGAAACAGGAAAAATAATCTGCTATGTGGATAAAATCCCCTTGTAAAAAGGTACTAGACGTGTTTCCGTATCACTTGTAAATGTAACACAAGTAGTTAAGAGTGTTTCACAAAACTCACAGATACAAGTACGTAATTGCATCTTATTAACTTTAACCATGATTGTTGTCATGAAATTAACATTTTCTTTGTCTCCAAATCAGTTAATAGAATGTCCATATCGCGAATGTTTTGGCAAGTCCCAACGTGTTAGGTTTTCAAAAGTTACACTGTACTTGAATTTTGGGTTCGTCTCGATTATGTTTTTTCTCGCGGAAGTTTTATGCTGTAACGTTTCAAAGACTTTACATCTTTTCTTCTTTAGATAACTTAAAAGGATTCATTTCATTTAATTTCAGTTTGAAATCAATTATATAAGGACAGATATTACTTACCGTTAAGTAAAGTTCAGATTATTGAAACTATTGTATTTAAAGTGAAACTGTTACATCTAAATTGAAACTACTACATTTAAATTAAAATTACTACATTTAAAAAAGTCTTTAACAATTTAAAGGGTGTTTTTTTCCCTTTGTTAAGAGTAAAAATTAAATTTTACCTTTAAAAAAACCAAAAATTAGGGGTTTTTGGCCCCAACAAAACCAAAGGCACCCCAGGAAACCAAATTTTTTCCTTCGTCCTTTTTAAAAAAAGAAATGGCCCTTAAAGATAATATTTGCTCTGGCCTTGGGGCCGCCCCTTTTTTTTTCTGAGGGGGGGCTTTTTAATTTATTAGGTTTCCCCTTTTATAAAAAAGTTTTTTTAAATTAAAAAACAAAAAACTTTTTAAAACCTTAAAACAAAAGGTAAAAATTTAAAAAAAACTTTAAATCCCAACAAAAAAAAACAAATTTAAGTGGACACATTTTGTATATAAACTATAGTGTCATTAAAAAACTGGCGGGGTTCTTTTTAAAAAGGAGGACCGTTTTCCCTTCCCCCCAATAAGAAAACCCACCATTTTCCCTTTAAAAAGTTTTTACTTCTTTTTTGAAAAAAAAGGAATTTTTTAAAGGGAAAAAGGGGAATTTTTTTAAGGGTTTTTTTTTTAATTATTTAAAAAATTAACATACAAATTTTTTTTAAAGAGCGTCCTATTTTTTTAAAAATTCAAAAAAAAAGAACAAAAAAAACCCCGAGTAATCAAACCTAGACATAATATGGGGGAAACCCGGCAAGAGGGTTAAATGGGAACATTTTTTCCTTAAATAAAACACATAAAAAACAAATATTTATTTGAAGTTTATTTTAAAATTTAAATCAAAAAGGGAATTATTTTTTTAAAGTAAAAAACTGAAATTGAATTTCTTCTGTATGTTCCACAAAATGATAAATTTCCGAGCGTCGTCGATCAATTTATTAATTGAATTTCCGTTACAATCATTTTGGCTATAAAACTGGACATGTTTCAAAGTGATCCTGGTTTTCTTTAATTAAACTGGAATAAAACTCAGATCATTAAAAAAATATATTTTTCTTGAGCGAGTGTCGTGTTACCAAATTATATATTAAATACTGGTATTGTCATATATAAAATGTCTAAATTTAACTTATTTGTATTGCCCTATCCTTGAACTTGTGTATCGTGGAAACAGTTATTTATGGATCAAAATGTCACAATGTAGAAAATCTGATCTAAAACAAATCTGTAGTCGGTCAAATAAAGCAGTCTGTATTCTTGAAACGTGAAAAGGAAAAATAGATGAATATGTTCATAGGTAACGAAATACGAAACATAATTTATAATCAGACAATCGGTGAACTACTCAAACTTGGAGGAAAGAACTGGAATACGAACAATTATTATTTTTCGTTGCTCATGACTTTAAGTATAAGTTTAATATGGTAATAATGTGAAATAAACCTATATAGTTAATATGAATAAAAGAATATCAAGCTACTCTACACAATAAGGATAGTGCAATGGATTATTTTCATAGTCTGTTAATATTTGTCTATACATATGATACACTTTTAGTGTCTCCTTTTGATCCTCTTTTTCAAGAAAAAATGTGATTAACTGTATTTTTCTCAAGAAAAATGTGATGAACTGTAATTTTTATATAAGATATCGTCATATGAAAGGCTCATTTTAACAGGTTAAATCACTATATAGTATGGCGATACCATTGACTAAATCACGTAAGTCTAAGTGGCCTGTAATTGACACTTTGAAGAGGATTATGACTGGACATTACAAGAACTAAGTAGTTAACTGATTAGTAGATTATCATTTTTTTCAAGATCTGATCTGTTGAGAATTTTTGTCTGCACCTTGAACGGTTGGGGGAGAGAGCCGAAATCAAATTACGTATGTTTGCCAAGCAATATAGATGGATTATGTTGTCAGGATTTATTTCTATTATCGGTATTTCAGATCCGACATTGGAAGCCTATATACAGTTACTAAAATGTTTACATCGCCACCAGAATGATAAAGGTTAAGCCAATTAATCAGATGTCTGGAGCAATAAGTGAGACATCAATAAGTTTAAACCAATAAAAAATGATGACAGATGATCACATGATGAAAAGATGTGTAAACCTGAAAGGAAAAGGCAAATTGCCAAAAATTTCATCGAACACAAATACAATATAATTTGATGTTATTGAATTAGTTATGTATCAGCAAATAC